GCACAATGAAAAAAAAAAAAAGGAAAAAAAACATATTGAAGGGTAACTTTACAATTTAGTCTTTAGGTAACAGAATATTTAGTGGGATCATGACTGAATTAGAGATAATATAGCCTATGATGGATGAATGTTGGGACTATGAGTTTTCTCATTTCGGGGATGAGTGAGAACTTCTTCACTTGTAGAAAGGATAGATGTATCTGGTTAGATAAAAGTTAAGAGTTGTTTTAAGGAAGTCCAAACATATGTAGAAGAATATATACAGAAACTGAGTAGCAAAGCAGTGGACTATGCCAGTTATCAATTTATTGTCTCTCAGCTCTAAATATACCCTTCAATATAAACTCTGCAATAATGGATGAAATTCTTTCATAAACTCTGCAATAACAGATGAAATTATCCTTTAAAGTGAGCATGATGGTAAGCTTTCTCAGTAGAGGACACTGGGGAAGAACCTTACAGGATGAAGAGGCTCTACTGCATTTTCCAGCTGCAGCACGGTGGGTCAGCAGTGTCGGTATGAGGACATCAGTGGTGCTTATAGTGATCACCTTCCCACTTCCCTTTCAGTACAAACATCCTGCACTCTAGGCCTCCTTCCGGTGTCCTGATTCCCTCTGCTCTTTCATCCTCTTCCAAAGTTTGTCTCCCACAGTCCTCTTGATGCCACAGTCCTCCTGACAGGGAGATCTGCACACGCTGGCACCTCCATTCCCACTGCATACCCACATGCCAGCCACCACCTGCCACTTACCCACCCTGCCTGCCTTCTGTTTGCCCGGGAACTGCAGGCCAGCTCTGGCCTGGGAACCAGCAGGCTTAACCATTCAGTAGCAGTTCAATTACACCGTCTCCAATGTGATCGGAACCACAGCCTTGGGGACAGAGATCACAGGGGTACCCCTTTCCAAATTTGTCCTTCCTTGGGTACTTTCCCTCAGCCCTAAGGTGTCCTAAAGAGTTTTCTTATATTCTAGATCTACTATTGTATAATAGTTTAACAATTCTTTGTACCTGTTTAAATCATTGTATGGTTCTTTTAATTGGATCCACATGCTAATCTCTGCCTTCATGAAGTTTATAGTCCAGCAGAGAAGAGACTAACTAAAATAGCAATTTTAGTAAAATGGGAGCACATAGCAGGGACAGTTAACCTAGGTTTACAAGGGTCATGGAAGATTTTCTAAAAGAAATAACATCTAAGCTTACCCATTAATCCGTTGCTATAGAGTTGATTCCAACTCATAGCAACCCTATAGGACACGGTAGAACTGCCCCATCGGGTATCCAAGGCTATACTCTTTATGGAAGCAGACTGCCACATCTTTCTCCCACAGAGCAGATGGTAGGTTTGAATCGGGTGGCAGCCAAATGCTTAACCACTGAGCCACCAGGGCTCCTCTTTCTAAGCTTAATTTGAAGAATAAATAATAACTGACCATAAGACTAGGGAAAAAAAGTTTTCTAATCAAAGGAAATAGCATGAACAAAGGCCTGAGGGTGAGGTACAATGTTTAAGGTACTGGAAAAAGGTTCAGAATGACTGAAACGCAGAATACAAGTAAGGGAGTGGTACGAGACGATGCTGGAAAGACTGGCTAGAGTGAGATTATGCAGTCCTCCATTAACTATGTCAAGATATTTGAACTTGATCTTAACAGAAATGGGAATCCAAAAACTATTAGAAATAATAACAGCGTGTCAAAGTGGCTGACTATAAAAATCAATAAACAAAAATCAATGGTATTTCTATATACCAGCCATAAACACTTAGGAAATGTAATTTTTTTTAAAGACAGTACAATAGCCACAAAATAATAAGGTACCATAGCAATAAATCTAATAAAAATGTATAAAACATCTATGTAGAGAATTATAAAACTTTATGGAAAAACACTAAATAAGATCTAAGTAAACATAGAGATATACCTTGTTCATGGTAGAAAGATTCAATATTTCAATTTTCCCTAAAAGGATCTATTGACTCAGTGCAAGCGTAATTCCAATCAAAATGTCAATGTTATTTTTTTGTTTGTTTTTTGTGGAACTTGATAAACTAGCTAGTAATTTATATGGAAGAGCAACGGCCTAAGAAGAGCCAAGACTGTTGTGAAGAAGAATAAGGTGGCCGGTGGAGGGTAAGGATGGTACCATTTCCCTACTTGACATCAAGACTTATTTTAAAGATAAGGACAGTATGATATTGGCAGAGAGATAGACATAACAACCCATGGAAAATAAAAAAGCTAGAAGCAGAACCATACATATGTGGGCCTATGATCAATGAAAAAGGTAGCATTGCAAGTCAGTAATAAAGGATATTTAAGAAATAGAAATTATCTCTATAGGGAAAAAATGAAATTGACTTTCTGCCTCATGTTATAAAAAAATCAGCTCCAGGTAGATTGAAAACATCAATGTGAAAAGCAAAACTTCACAACTCTTGGGAAAAAAACATAGGACAAAGATGATGTTCCTGAACAGAACATAAAAAGCAATAATCATAAAAGAAAACACTGATAAATTTGACCAAGAATTCTGACTTCTGCTTCTGGGAATGGTGGACAAGTTATTTGAATCAATATTCCCACCGAAGACAACAAACTCCTAGACACAGTATAAGCAAACTTACAAAAAAACCCAAAAAATCTTAAAAGCATTTAAGAGTTTTATGAATGTGTGTGCGTGGACTTCTCAATTTGTACCACTTAAATATGTGCAGCTTACTGTATGTTCATTATACCTGAATAAAACTGTTAAAATATATTATGAGGTCATACTGACACTTCCAATTTAATTTTTAAAAGTATTAGAGAGGAAAAATGTGGGGTTATGTGCCACTGAAATATGGGTACACCATTGACATCTTTGGCCCCTCAAGGGCCCACTGATCTCTTTCTCGTCGCTGACAAGTCTCAACATGTTGTGTTCAGCATATGGGCCTGTTGAGACTTGTCAGCGATGAGACGGAGATTAGGCATGACTTGTTTTTCCAAAACCTATTGTCTTGTTACTGACTGGCTTGTTTATCTGAAGTCCATTCTCCCTTGCCCGAAACTTATTGTTACTCACCCAAAGCCCTTTGTTCTGTTATTTGCTTCACTGCTTGCTGTACTGACTATAAATAAACTCCTGGGACTGAAGCCGGGGTCGACTCCTCTGAGTGACCCTCCTTGGCCCCACTTCTCTGTAAGAGTTGTGCAGTTGATTACCGTCGCCATCGCTGTTCCGACAGAAAAAGATTCTGAGGAATTTCTGGGCCAAGATACAAGAAGCTACAAGAATCCAGAGAACGAAGCCTAGCACAAGTAGCCAATTTTCTCTTGTTACTATTTGCCTATCTGAAAGTTTGGAAGTTAAAAAAAAAAAAAAACTGGAAAAACATATACCATATAAACACTAACCAAAACAAAAGTAGTGTTTCTATATTAACAGCAGAAAAAATAAATTTTAAGGCAATAAGTATCTAGAGATGAAAAGGGTCATTTCATAATGAGAAAAAGTTTACTTCACCTGGAAGATAAAACAATCCTAAATTTTTATGTTCCTACTAAAATAGCTTCAAAATATATGAAACAAAAAATTAACAGTACTATAAAGAGAAATAGACAAATCCACAATCATAATGGGAAATTTTAACATACTTCTCTAATAATTGACAGAACAGATAAAAAATCAGTAGTGATGCAGAAGATTTAAACAACATAATTTTTAAATGACCCAATAAACATACATATATACATAACTATAAAAGCCATATTCTTTCTAAGCAGATACAGAATATTTATTAAAAACTGTGTCAAGAACTTCTGTTCATCAAAAGACATCATAAAGGGAAAATAAAAGCCACAAACCTAGAGAAGAAATAAATAATACAAATAAACAACAAAAGATTCAGTATCCAGAATATATAAAGAATTGCCACAAATCAAGAAAAATAAACTAAAAAATGGGAAAAGACAGTCATTTCTCAGAAAAGGAAAGATATGTAGCCAAAAAGTACAGAAAAAGATAATTAACCTCATTAGTAATCAGGAACATTCAAATTCAAACTACAGTAAGATACTATTTTACAACTCTCTAGATTGGTTTAAATATTAAGAAGTCTGACAATATCAACTGTTGGAAAGTATGTAGATCAGTAAGAACTCTCATATGCTGCTAGTAGGAGTGTTCATAGTAGAACCACTTTGAAAAACAATCTGTCATTATCTTATTAATTTATACATCACGTACCCTATGACTAAGCAATTTCATTGCTAGATACGTATCTTAGAGAAACTCATATAATGAAGACCTATTTCATCCATTTATCCCTCAAGAACATCTAGCAGATTAAGATTAAAAATTAAAATTGAAGGATTAAAAAAGAAAACAATAATATAAGGATCAACTTCTAGATTAAATAAATATCATGTATAATAGAAGAAGTACAGCCAGAATGCTCCTTAGAAGTGAGGGTGGCAAGACTTCGTCTCATGGACTTTAGACATGTTATCAGGAGGGTCAAGTCCCTGGGGAAGGATACTATGCTTGATAAAGTAGAGGGTCAGTAAAAGAGAGGAACATCCTCAGGAAGATGGATTGACAACACAGTGGCTGCAACAATCAGCTCAACATAACAACGATTGTGAGGACGGCCCAGGACTGGGTAGTATTTTGTTCTGTTGTACATAGGGTCACTTGAGTTGGAATTGACTGGACAGCACCTAACAACAACAACAACAACGTATAAAAGGGAGAACTTTCTCTTTCTTGTGCTTTATTGCCTGAATGGCTTAAATAACGTAGACATACACTTATTAACAAATATTAGAAACTATGTAGGCTTATTAATCTAGCCCCAAATTATGAATATGGGTAAACTGATGTATTTATCTTTCAATCATCCATATTATTAGTTATAAATAACATCAAATAGATCTAACTACCTAATTTACAGTTTACAAAACTTTAAGAGTTTCAAAATATCATCTGGGTCAAGCTTCTATTCATTTTACCTGAATATCCCCCTTGAGGTGTCCAACTTCTATAACCTGATCTCTGGGGATTTCCAGCAGACAATGGAGTTTTTAGTATTTGAGGATAATTAGTGTCTCTTGCAGAAGATGAGCTTGTACCAAAAGTAAAATTTGATGCAGCTGTATTTTCTGCATAAGATCTTCTGTTTCCAAAGCATGAACCTAAATTAGCAAAATTAAGTATCAATTCTTAAAGTTTAAATATTATGTAATTAATGATGTATTAATCCCTAAATTTATACTATCTTTACTTTCAATAAAAATTCATTCTGATTTTAAAAAATACAGCAAATTATGACTAATTTAATAACATTATCGATAAACAATCTTGTTCTAAAATATATGAAAAAGTGCTTGCTAATATAGATCTTGTTTCTCTCATTTCACCAAGACTCCTCTTGCTAAAATCATAAATTAACTTCTAATCTTCAAATACATCAGACATGTTTAATTTGCAGAGTAATTAATAGACCTCTTTTCCTTTGTTGACTTTCTCATTGAAACTCTCTCCTCCCATGCAAATGACATAGTAAAGAGTTTTAAATTAGACTGACTTGGATTCAGTTCCTTGTTTAGGTACTTACCTGTTGATATATGATATTCTTTATTTTACAGGGTTATCATAAAATATGAAAGAATGTACATAAACAGCCTAGTATAGTGTCTTGGCACATAGAAGTTAAAAAAAAAAAAGCATGGGTTCTACTATTCCCTTGATTTCCATAACAACTCTCTATCTTAATTCTCCTAAAATCATTTGCTTTTAGTTTCCTTGGCTAGAATCTTTCTTCCTCTGTCTGCCTCTTAACTGTTGGCCTCCCAGGGTTCCATAGTTTTCATCTTCTCTCACAAATTAACATTACAAATTCTCCTGAGGCATCTTATCTATTCTATTGGTCTTTATTAAATCTATCTCCTGACCATTCTCAAACCTTCATATACAGCCCTGACTCCTGTCTTATAGGGTAGACCAGGGATCGGCAAACTTTTCGTAAAAGGCCAGACAGTAAATATTTTAGGCTTTGCAGACCATACATTCTCTGGCACATTTACTCAGCTATGTCACTGTAGCTCAAAAGCAGACAGAGACAATATGTAAATGAATGAGCATGACTATTTTGCAATAAAAATTTATTTGTGGACATTGAAATCTAAATTTTATATAATTTTCACATATCACAAAATATTCTTCTTTTCATTTTTTCCAACCACTTAAAAATGTAAAAGCCATTCTCAGCTCTAGACTTGCATTGTTCGATACAGTAGCCACCAGCCACATATGGCTATTTTAATTAGAATTAATTAAAAATGCAGTTACTCAGTCACACTACCCACATTTTAACTGATCAAAAGCCACATTTGGCTAGTGGTGACCATACTGGACAGCATAGACACAGAACATTTTCCTCATCACAGAAAGTTCTATAAGACAGCACTCTAGAGCCTATATCCAGTTATATTCTGGATGTAAACCTTTAGATATCTTCAGAATTTCCAAATGTCCAAAAATTAACTTATCTTTCCTTCAAAATCTATTTCCTCTGAAGGCAGGGCCAAGATGGTGGAGTAATCAGACTCTTCTGGTGGCACCTCTTACAAAAAACACCCGAAAAAAACAAGTGAATCGATTATATATGACAATCTAGGAGCCTTGAACATTAAAGGCAAAGCTGAGGAATCAGATTGAGTGGCACGGGGAGGGAGAGATGGTTCAGAAGCAGCAAGGAGTTGCGAGAACTGACCCGGCAGGAGGGGGAGCCATTCAGGCCGGATCAGCTCGTACTGTGTGGTAAGGAAAGCAGCGGTGCTCAGGAGGCATTTTCCACATCAGGAGAGAGCCAGCAGCAGACAGTCTACTTAGCCATCCAGCACCAGTGAGAAGTAGCCCTTGATCAGCGAAAGATAAGTACTTGCGTCTGGCCTACCACAAGGATCAAAAAACGCTTCCTTTCGGGAAAAACCTCTCTCCCACTTGCCTCCCCACTCCCTGCTCTGCACTGGGTCTGGGAAAGCTAGGACCCATCACGCACCCTGAGACATTCTCCTGGCCTTGGAGAGGGAACAAATTAACAAACAGGGGTAAAAACAATCTGCCAGCTCCCCTAAGCCAGGATCTCAGGGTAGGCACAACTCCTTTGGCTATGCACAGGCACAAGGGGGTCCATGGAATTTGAGTGCCTTTCTCCCTGCACGGACTTGTGTGGTTCCATTTTAACAGCATAGGCCCTCATTACCACAGTACAACAGGGTATATACCTGAAGTCTAACTTCAACTGTTTCAGCTGTGAAGTGGCAGGTTTGATACTGCTCTGTCCATTAAGCAAGGTCTTAACCTACCCACATCAGGGGCCTGAGGACTGGTGCTGACACCCATGCCACCTAATCACCTGCAACATGGGCCCAAGAATAAGCTGTGCCCCCAGTCCTTACAGCTAACAGCTTACATGCTCATAGTCTGGCTGCAAAACCCACCCACCTACATGCTCTAGGGAACAGGGACACACTTTCCTCCCAGACACTCAGGGGCAGCCATCGGGCCCACTGCCTTCCTCAGCATGTGAGCCCCTGTTGTGCCTACACCAGTCACCCATGCCTGTCTAGGACTGTAGGTGAGAGCCTACACCACACACTTGGTGGCTGACTATCTGGACACCTGAGTTGAATCCATACGGGAGGAGTGGGCAGACTCCTGGGCACACATACTCAGTGGCAGTTCTGGCCACATGGTGGCAGGACGTTGGACCTGCAGGGGCACCGGTGATTGGGTTAGCTTACATGAGCAGCCTATTTGGGCATATCAAAACAAAACAAAACAAGAAGTTAGGACACAGTAAGCAAACATAAAAAAATATATAATAACTTATTGATGGCTCGGAGATAACAGTCAATATCAAATCACACAAAAAGGCGGGCCATGATGGCTTCAGCAAGTTCCTAAAATAAAGAATCAAGGAATTTTCCAGAAACAGAAATTCTTGGAATTACCGGAGGCAGAATACAAAACATTAATATACAGAACTCTTCAACATATCAGGAAGGAGATTTTGCAAAATGCATACCAAGCAATAGAGGAACTTAAGAAGATTAGAGAGAGCATAATGACAAATTTAACGGGCTACAAGAATCCACAGAGAGACAACAATGAGAAATCCAGAAGATTAACAATAAAATTTCAGAATTTGACAACTCAACAGAAAGCCATAGGAGCAGAATTGAGGCAATGGAAGTCAGAATTACTAAGATTGAAGACAAAGCACTTGACACCAAATTATTTCAGGAAAAATCAGATAAAAAGATTTAAAAAAATGAAGAAACCCTAAGAATTATGTGGGACTCTATCAAGAGGAATAACCTACAAGTAATTATAGGATCAGAATGGGGTGGATAACACAAAAAACAGAGAATTGTTGAAGATTTGTTGGCAGAAAACATCGCTGATATTGTGAAAGATGAGAAGATATCTATCCAAGACGCTCATCGAACCCCACATAAGGTAGACCCCAAAAGAAAGTCACCAAAACATAATATAATCAAACTTGCCAAAACCAAAGATAAAGAGAGAATTTTAAGAGCAGCTAGGGATAAACAAAAAGTCATACACAAAGGAGAATCAATAAGACTAAGCTCGGACTACTCAGCAGAAACCATGCAGGCAAGAAGGCAATGAAATGGCATATATAAAGCCTTGAAGGAAAAAAATTGCCAGCCAAGAACTATATATCCAGCAAAACTGTCTCTCAAATATGATGGCAAAATTCGGGCATTTCCAGATAAACAGAAGTTTAGGGAATTTGCAAAAACCAAACCAAATTACAAGAAATACTAAAGGGAGTCCTCTGGTTAATAACAACCCAAGACAAGAACAAAGGACATACAGAGCAACTAGATATCAACCCAGATAAGGAAGTCACAAAAATAAATCAAAGCTAAAACACTGAACATAGGGAAACAAAGATATCAATATGTAAAAGATGACAACATTAAAACAAAAAAGAAGGACTTAAAAATGTAGACATAGATTTTTCAAATGGAAAGGAAGTCAAGGCAATATAAAGAAATAAACGACTGGTAAAAACTTAGAAAAATAGGGGTAAATATTAAGGTAACCACAAAGGAAACTAACAATCCTACACGTCAAACTAAAAAACAAGAAAAATATAAAGACTCAGCAAACACAAAAGCAACAACAATGAAAAAGATGAAAAGAAAATACATATAGAAATGCGACTCAGCACAGAAAATTAAGTGGAACAAAGAAACTGTCAACAACACACAAAAAAAGACATCAAAATGACAGCACTAAACTCATACCTATCAATAATTACACTGAATGTAAATGGACTAAATACACCAATAAAGAGACAGACAGTGGCAGAATGGATTAAAAAACATGATCTGTCTATATGCTGACTATAAGAGACACACCTTAGACTTAAAGACACAAACAAACTAAAACTCAAAGGATGGAAAAAATATATCAAGCAAACAACACTCAAAAAAGAACAGGAGTGGCAATATTAACCTCTGAAAAAGTAGACTTTAAAGTAAAATCCGCCACAAAGGATAAGGAAGGACACTATATAATGATTAAAGGGTCAATACACTGGGAGGGCATAACTATAATAAATATTTATGCACCCAATGACAGGGCTCCAAAATACATAAAACAAACTCTAATAGCATTGGAAAGAAAGATAGACAGCTCCACAATAGTAGGAGACTTCAACACACCACTTTCGGTGAAGGACAGAACATCCAGAAAGAAGCTCAATAAAGACACGGAAGATCTAAATGCTACCATCAACCAACTTGATTTCATGGACATATACTGAACACCCCACCCAATGGCAGCCAAGTATACTTTCTTTTCCAATGTACATGCAACATTCTCCAGAATAGACCACATATTAGGCCACAAAGCAAGCCTTAACAGAATCTAAGGCATTGAAATATTACAAATATTACAAAGCATCTCTTTGGTGAATGACGTCTGGGGTCTTAAAAGCTAGAGAGCAGCCATCTAAGATGCATCCATTGGTCTCCAGCCACCTGGAGTAAAGTAGAATGAAGAACACCAAAGTCACAAGCAAAGTATTAGCTTAAGAGACAGAAAGGGCCACATAAACCTGACACTGCATCAGACTGAGACCAGAAGAACTAGA